GTAAACCGTGCCTAATGGGGTGTTTACACTTGTGCTGATTCACGTGCTGGTAAGCCTGTCGTTCACGAACCTATGGTTATTAGCATGATGTAAACAGATTTTCTGAGCTGATTAATCAGTATTATGAATTAGCACATGGGCTACAAAATGGTGAATTGACAACCTGCAAGGAGCAGAATACCTAGCCCTGGTCCTCACAGGTTCCTACTTCACGCCTCCTCGAGTGATATGATAACAAAAGACTGCCAGCTGAAACATGGACACACCTGGGTGGCGTAGCCTGGGCAATGTTGCCAGTCCAGCAATAGCAAAGTGAAGGGATGCGACGCGAACACTGGTGCGGTAACCACAGTACGGTGATAAAGGAAATGCTTCACCAAACCTGAGCGTCTGTTCACCATGGAGGTGTGGCTCAAAACGGCGTCTGTTCACCATCTTAGTGCCAGCGTGGGACTCTGAACAGAGCTGTGCACGATGGTCCCCCGGTGAAACAGGGGTTGGGGCAGGCCCAACAAGCCACCCTGGAAAAAAAAACAAAGTTGCAAATACTGAAGAAAGAAATACGGATCGGAACAATCGACACAGACCTACGCGACGAATTAAGGACTGCGATTGGAAACTCGGAATATGGAACTGCAAACCGTTCGGTTTCCCGGGCTGCGATAGGTTAATCTATGACGAACCTCAACCACGCAACTTCGAAGTTGTCGCACTGCAGGAACTTTGCTGGACGGGACAAAAGGTATGGAAAACCGGGCATCGAGCGGCTACTTTCTACCAGAGCTGTGGCACCACCAACGAGCTGGGAACCGGCTTTGTAGTGCTGGGTAAGATGCGCCAACGCGTGATTAGTTGGCAGCCGATCACCGCGAGGATGTGCAACTTGAGGATTAAGGGCAGTATCTTCAACTACAGTATCATCAACGTGCATTGCCCACACGAAGGGAGACCCGACGAAGAGAAAGAAGCGTTCTATGCGCACTTGGAGTAGGTGTACGACGGCTGTTCAAAATCGTCATCGGTGACATAAACGCTCAAGTAGGACAGGAGTCAACATTGCGCAACTACGGGACGCTGGAGTTGCCCAGGACTACGCGCAGCAGCTGTAAGTTGCACTACCCACGGAAGAGCAGCTTGGTGCAGCTTCTCTTAAAGATGGCTGGAGGGATATCCGTTCCGCCATAGGTAGTACTGCTGCAGTGGCACTAGGTACTAAATCCCGGACCGCAGAAATGACTGGTTTGAAGGCGAATGCAAACTGTTAGTGGAGGAGAAGAATGCAGCACGGGCGAGAATGCTGCAACACCACACGAGATTGAATGTGGAGCGATACAGACAAGCGCGGAACAGACAAAACTCGGTTTTCCGAAGGAAGAAGCATCAGCAGGAAGACCGAGATCGCGAGGCGATGGAAAATCTGTACCACGGCAAGGACTTGGACGGTAACCTTCTCACGAACGAGTGTGAAGTGATTGAGAGGTGGAAGCAGTACTATGACGAGCACCTCAACGGTGAAGCAGCAGGAAACGAAGGTGGCACGGCAACAGAGGAGGAGATCGGTCGACTGAAGAACAACAAAGCAACTGGTGTAGATCAACTACCAAGTGAGCTATTAAAATACGGTGGTAAAGTACTGGCTAGAGCGCTGCACTGGTTATTGGGATTTGGAAGGATGAGATATTACCGGAGGAGTGGATGAAAGGTGTCGTATGCCCAATCTACAAAAAGGGCGAGAAGTGGGATTGCTGTAACTACCGCGCGATCACACTGCTGAGTGCCGCCTACAAGGTATTCTCCCAAATTCTATGCCGCCGCCTGTCACCATTTGCAAGAGAGTTCGTGGGGCAATACCAGGCGGGATTCATGGGTGCCTTCCCTACCACGGACCACATTTTCGCGATTCGGCAGGTTCTGCAGAAATGCCGCGAATACAACGTTCCCACACATCAGTTGTTCATCGATTTCAAATCCGCATACGACACAATCGATCGAGATCAACTATGGCAGATTATGCACGAGTACTGATTTCCGGATAAACTGACGCGATTGGTCAAGGCGACGATGGATCGAGTGATGTGCGTTGTTCGAGTACCGGGGAAACTCTCGAGTCCCTTTGAATCTCGAAGGGGGCTACGGCAAGGTGATGGACTTTCGTGTCTGCTGTTCAACATCGTTTTGATGAGAAGAACTGGGATAGACACGAGTGGCACGATATTCAGGAAGTCCATCCAGCTCCTTGGCTTCGCCGATGACATTGACATTATGGCACGGAACTTTGAGATGATGGCGGAAACGTACATCAGACTGAAGGCTGAAGCTAGGCGGATTGGACTTGCCATCAACGCATCAAAGACAAAATACATGAAAGGAAAAGGTTCTAGGGAAGACAATGTAAGCTTCCCACCCCGAGTTCAGATTAACGGTGACGAAATCGAGGTGGTCGATGAGTTCGTGTATTTGGGCTCACTGGTGACCGCCGAAAATGATACCAGTAGAGAAATTCAGGCAGGGAATCGTGCCTACTTTGGACTCCGGAGGACGCTCCGGTCGAATAAAATTCGCCGCCGCACGAAGTTGACTGTCTACAAGACGCTGATTATACCGGTGGTCCTCTACGGCCACGAGACCTGGACTATGCTCGTGGAGGACCAACGCGCCCTTGGTGTTTTCGAACGGAAGGTGTTGCGTACCATCTACGGTGGAGTGCAGATGGATGACGGAACGTGGAGGAGGCGAATGAACCACGAATTGCACCAGCTGCTGGGAGAACCATCCATCGTCCACATTGCAAAAATTGGGCGACTACGGTGGGCTGGGCACGTCGTAAGAATGCCGCACGACGACCCAGTGAAAATGGTTCTAGAAAGCGACCCAACAGGAACAAGAAGAAGAGGCGCGCAGCGGGTAAAGTGGATCGACCAAGTAGAAGGTGACCTGCGGACCCTTCGCAGACTACGAGGCTGACAAACTATGGTCATGGATCGAGTAGAGTGGAGACGACTTCTTCGGACAGCAGAGAACAACAAGGCCTTAGCCTGATTTGTAAGGTAAGTACATAAATGTAAACAGGCCATAAATCAAAAGCAAGCAGGCTCCCTAATCATGATTTATGAGTGAGTAAATGAGCACTGATGTCTCGTGCACCATATATCGATGGCGAATAGCAGTTCAGATTGCACGTTTGAGTTAGAAATTCGGATTTTGGTACGTCAAGTGTTCCGTAAACCTGCAATGGCAACGCTAGCCTTCTTGATTCATGTAACTATGTCAGTATTTGTCCTATCGTCTGATGAAATTTAGCCTTACGTATGTATGCCTAACGTCATTGACCCCATAAATGACTTGGCATATTTTTGACCAATTATAGACCTCGTAGCGTATTTTTATATACCTAATACAAGGCCGGTCACAACTTTTGAAGATCTTTCTCCACAAATGGTATGTAATCTATTCATGTTCCCTTAAAACAAACATATCATATTAGCAATATGATCCATTCTTGCTATTCCATTTCATTCAACATGGCCAATGAGATCAATCCAAATTTGTGTTAAGTTTACTCATAAATCGCAAAAAGTGCAGGAGCTAAGCGATGAGTAAATTTGCCTCAGGTTTTTTACAGGAAAAAATCCCGAATATGAGAAAATTAAAGATTGGACCCTTTCAGTCTATTGGTACTACTCCTAGACCGAGTAATATGTTCTTCAATTTTCTTCATATTCTGGCAGATTTTTTAGGTTTCCCGCATTAGGCAAATCTACTCATCGCTGAGTTCCTGCACTGTTTGAGATTAAGAGTAAACTTAACTCAAATTTGGGTTGATCTCATTGGCCGTGCATTAACTGTGAAACAAATTTTACATTGGTAGTCTTTTTGGCCACAGATGCGCTCTTATCGCTAGGAATTCGCTTCGCCAGCTGAGTGAACGACTGGATCATATTGTTAGTATGATATTTTTACTGAGGATCAATGGATAAGTGGATAAGTGAGCGTTCAATCAAGTTAAGTTATTCCAGTAAACATGAAGATGTTCTTCGAGGTTGTCCCGAAAAGCTCTTCGCAACGGTAATGAATTTGAGCCCAGCTTATTTACAAGAACATACAAACAAGCATAGCACATATTGATAAATATTCAATTATGGCAGTCTCTCACTGCATTCTCCCCCATTTCACCATCCAAACATCCGTGGAAAACATCGTTACTAAAAATAATCAGTCTCCCACGACTTGTCCGTACTCCAGATTACGCTACATGACTGAGAGTGAATGAACACCCAAATCAGAGCAGATTACTATGAACGCATCCATGCCATATATCCAGCATCATCATCGTAAAACATGTGTCTGACCGCTCATCCGCACACACATGTGACGCACTCTCTGTTTGTGCAAATAGAAAATAGAAAATTGAAAATATACAAAAGAGTTCGATCGGGAAAAGTCACCGACTGGATGGCGAAATGAACCAAACTGGTCTTAGCCGTCTGTAAAGACAGTTGCAAGGGAAAAAGAAAAAAAAAAAATCACTGACAGTAATCCCTCCCTTTTTGCGGTGGGTGGTTCTGTCCACCCACCGCCGTTTCTCGGCTGTCTTTCAACCAATTTCGCTGATTTTTTTCAAGTGATTCGTGTCAACCATAAACTAGTGATCTACTGGAAATCAGCTCAATTGGTTGAAGGGCAGCTGAGAAAGAGCGGTGGGTGGAAGGTACCACCCACCGTATAAATGGGGGAAGTTTCTGATTTCAGCAAAAAATACTTTCCTTATCGCGAAGAACCCCTCGAACCTACCTGCGGTAGTAAATGCACATTCGAGTACATTCGAGCTCGAATGAACACATGGCACGCTGCTGATAAGCACAGCTGTAGGTACCTAACAGGTCAACAGGCTTAATCGCGCCTAGAAGCAGTTGTGCTGTGCGACAGGCGCCTCCTCCTCGACAAGAAGCTCCATTATCAGTTTCGCGCTAGGGTAGTGCGCGTCGTTGTTCGTTGTTGTAAGCACCGACGCCATCGTCGTCGTCGTCGTAAGTCGGCCTTAATCAGCGTATCAGCACAGTTCTGTGTGGTGTGCTATATGCCTTCGGTAGAAAATTAAACTTAAGGTAGTGCTGTTTCGTCGGCGTTTGAAGCAGGACGCGCAGGATTCTTCCTCTCTCCGAGTTCCCAGTGATACCGAATAGGTGAGTTAGGTTCCTTGAACTGACACCGGCTTTGAAGAGGCAAAGGGGGTATGTTCCAAGATAAGTGCATTTTGTTTGATTAAAATAGTGCCTCACGTGTGTGTGGAGAAGAGTGTTGTGCAAATTTATCTACCACGTTACACCGGTGATCATCTTGGCTATATCAATTAGACAAGTGAGTTTCAAGGAGACTGAAGAGAAAAGAATACATTAACACGTAAAAAACAGCAGTGTGAACCTAGGGAATGATATCGAACAACGCGGGACTAATGACCGTTGGTATATAAGAATGGACTTGCTGTTTAAAGATGTCGGTCAGCGATGAATGGACGGGAAAATAAATAATTCTAAAGAAAGAAACGCAAAACAACGGTGACGGTTCGTTCGTAAACCTTTCTTCGCACGAATCGATGAATTTTGGTTGGAAATTTTCGTTGTAAGTGATAGCTAGCTACTCGTTAAAACAAGGCTTAAATAAGAGTTCAACTAAGTGCGGTATGAACGGGTCTCGACCGGTGGAGTAACTCGTTTGTGTTTTATTGATTTCATACATAAAACATAGCCCTTGATGGGAATATATTAGCCGATAATCTATGGATGATTTTAAATGATACACGGGCGAATCAATAAAGAGGAAATTCAAATTGCAGGTCCGATAGTGCATACGCCAAAATGAACACTAGCCAACTTTGCACTCAAATCGAAACTGTAAAATGTCATATAGAAAAAAATAGCGATCTATGAACACCAATTCGTTTGAGTGCATAGTGCAGATAATGTGGCTACATAAGCCAATTAAATTAATTAAATATTTACTTCAGTAATCAACAAGTTCCACTAGTGGACCGCAAGTAGGTGGTTCACAGCGAACGATTTACCTGTGGGAATAAGTGCTATTAATCAATCAGCAGACATATTTTTGCATCGACAATACAGGAAGCATCTAATATTGACTAATATGAATAGGGTGGATCAGGATACCGTGAAGTACCGAAATTCATACACCTGATGGAATCCCAAGTAACAAATTTTGTTTTGATTGGGGTTTTGTGGACCATAATTTAGACTTGTATAACTATTTAAAACCTAGATAAAACCTGCAATGTTACTTGGCATGGGTATAAGAGAGTACACACTATAAAATAACTAATTTTACACGTGATGGAATCCATCTTTGACATAAAAGATAAGACGTAAACAAACATGTAATGTAATATTAAGTGCTCCGAGACTGAAAAGTTCGTTGCTCGACGTGTAGGTCATCATGATATTTTTTTAGAACACCCCTTTTTGGTTCTATTTTGAGGTCCCAAAAAACTATGCAAAATTTGGGGACAATTGGTTGTAGCCCGGCTTTCCGCAATGCGTTTGAAATTTGTATGGACATTAGTATGGGAAAATCTAGTTTTGGCACTTTCATTCATAGGGACCGCAATTGTACATGAACCATGCAACCAAATATATCATATCCATCCATTCATGCCTTTTCCAAATGTTGCAATGGCGACCCGCAAAATATTGCTTCACGCACCATCTACCGTTGAGAAAGGTCAGCAACAATCATTCAATTACAATCGAGGGGTGCGAATATAGCACATATTACAAAAGTAACAGTCAAATTATTTTCATTAATTACATTGTGTACATTGTGTACAAATTTATCTGACATGTCACTGCTGTCATCAAATAAAATGAAATACAGAAATACATTCATTTGAAATATTAAACAATTTTCATTTGGTTTACCCCTCGTGACGATAAACAAATACATTGGTAGCCTTTTTGGCTACAGAGATGCTTTCATCGCTAAAAATTTGGTTCGCCAGCTAGGTGAAAAAGTGGATCGTATTGTTAATATAATATATTTGATGCAACTAATCATGTAAAAGTACAGCCCAGAGACGATGTTAAATAAGAGACGCGCGAAGAGTGAAGCCAAAAGAACCAATCGAACCGTCCAACGCGGTTTCAATCGAGCAATGTAAATAAACACTAGCGCTTCACGACGAAAAGCGTGGGGAGTATTAAGATTGGGGTTGAATTTAATTGTTGTGGTTGGTTGGTTGGTTGGTTGTCTTTATTAAGGAAAATTTATTTGTTGATTGTTGAGGGAATGCGGTGCTAGGTTCGAGTGGTCACGAGTGGAGGCACGGTGGTTTCCACCGAAGTTGGCACTAGTGCTGTGTCGATATTGATAAATCCGATATTATCGATAAATATTGGGTCTAAATTATCGATACGATAACCTATATTTAAAATCCGATTTCAACAATAATCGAAATTTGATATGGGATTGATGTTAATAATCATCCAAATGGTTCCACCGTCGGTGATTCTAGCTCCAGTTGAAAAAGCTGATAGTGAATAATTTGTTGGTGATGAGCCAACGAACAAGATCTCTACCGCTAACTTGGTGTGAAGCTATGACGAGCGAATGGTTCAACGCCAGAATAACCAAAGAACAACCAAGTTAACGCGTCGCTCCATCTGGAAGGAACTTTATTTATTCGTGAGAAGTGGTTTTAAACTAATGAAAAGTGCCAGTTTTTGGTACTTGGAAGACAAATAAGATTTTACTCTCGTTCTGTACGTTGAATATGACAAAAAAGGCTGACTAAAAGTAAATTGGTACGCCCCTCGCTCGCCGCTACCACGCTCAGCACTAGAGGGAATCGAAAATCTTTGGCAGTGGTTTGTTAACACTTCTATAGAGAACAACTGGAGCAAGTTTGATCAAAGTAGTCGATCGCGTTCAGAAATAACGTCAAATGGAGCTCGAAAGAAGAAAAGTATTGCGCACAAACACCTGGAAAATCCGGCGTGGTCGGGTTCAAAGCCTTCTAATGTACTGAAGATTAGTTAATTAATTTAGCTTTATTTAGGAGGCTTTCAGCCTTAGGCTGGTTCGCCTCCAACGTACTGAAGATGCCAAAAACAACAGTTTGTCGAGTGCTCAAAAGCTACAAGGAAACCCTGAGTGTGGAATGGAATCAGCGAAAAAACTGGAACCAGGCATCGTCAGCTGCGCAGCAAGGTGTTAAGATGCGTTAAAGCCAACCCGGTCTTTCGATCCGAGATGTGGCCAGAAGGTACAACGCCAACTTTTAAACGGGCGCGGAACATCCTTTCCAGGGAAGGATACAAGTCGTACAAAGCCAGTAAACATCCGAACCGGCACATGAAGCAGAATTCAGTAGCCAAAAAGCGTGTACCCAACTAACAATTTTCACAATGTAAACGCTTTACGCATTTCATTTATACAGCCTCAATCTGTATTCAAACGTTAAACGATATAAGGAAACCTTTACTCAACCTCTATACAATCAAATCTGACGAACTTAGTCAGCTGCTTCTGGCTGTTGGGACGGTTGGGACAAGCTCTTATTGCATGTCCATTAACGCTTCTATACAGCTGTTATCCTGCTGTTTAGTTGTGTGTGGACTTGAAAGGCGCTTAATTCAATCTTTCCCCGGTTATCAAATAATCACTACAGAGCTTTCTCTTGAAACCAAGTTAAATATTGTTTACGCTATTTTGACGTAGGACTACGTCTTTGATTTCTATATGGGGGTACACTTTGTGAAAACCGAAAATGGAACATGTAACAAATTAAGAAAGATTTTGAACGTTAATAACTCAGCTGCCCCTGGTCCAATTTCAATAATTTTATCACCAATCGATCAGAAATATGGCTACTCATCGATAACAATACTTCCGAATGTTGATTTTTAACAAGAAACTATTGAAAAACTGGTAAATGTCCAGCATTATCCAAAAGCGTCGAATTAACTAACAAATACACCAATTACCTACATACATATGCTGTTCCCCAGCACAGTCGTCAGAGAGTAGTAAGTAGACGAAACAAGTCGAAGTGGCATTCGCCTCCGATCCTTGGGCGCGTGCGAATAGGGAGGATTGAATTGCGTAATATTGTGCACACTCATCGCCATATTCAGAACCAAACGCAAATTCTCGAGATAACTACCATCCGTCGTCTGGCTTGCCAAGGCGGTGTCTGACGTATCTCCGGTCTGATTTACGAGGTGTGCTGAAGGTGTTCCTGAAAAATGAGATCCGTGATGCTGTCACCTACACTAAAGGGTGATACGGTCAAAATTCGGTCAATATCAACTTGACGTATTTCTTTCAATTTTGCATTTAAAAAACCTGAACACCCCTCATTTTGAAGGTGTGTGTGTGTAGAATGTTGCTCCTATTTTGATTTTGGAATTCACTCTTCAGTTGTCAAAATGCCGTCCAAGCAAGAAGAGCAGCGTATCAAAATTTTGCTCGCGCATCGCGAAAATCCGAGCTACTCGTACGCAAAGTTGGCAAAATCGCTAAAAGTTGCCAAATCAACCGTTACAAATGTAATTAAAGTGTTTGGGGAACGTTTGTCGACAGCCAGAATGTCTGGATCGGGGGTAAATCGAAAACCGGAAGCCGCTGAGACGACAAAGAGAGTTGCCGGTAGTTTCAAGCGAAACCCTAACCTCTCTCTCCGAGATGCCGCAAATAAGCTGGGTGTATCGTCTACAACCGTGCATCGAGCCAAAAAACGAGCCGGACTATCGACTTACAAGAAGGTAGTGACTCCAAATCGTGATGATAAATAAAATACGACGGCCAAAGCGCGATCCCGGAGGCTGTACACGACGATGCTGACGAAGTTTGACTGCGTGGTAATGGACGACGAAACCTACGTCAAAGCCGACTACAAGCAGCTTCCGGGACAGGAGTTATATACGGCAAAAGGAAGGGGAAAGGTAGCAGATGTTTTCAAGCACATGAAACTGTCAAAGTTCGCAAAGAAATATCTGGTTTGGCAAGCCATCTGTACCTGTGGCTTGAAAAGCAGCATTTTCATAGCTTCCGGGACTGTCAACCAAGAAATTTACGTGAAAGAGTGTTTGAATAAACGTCTGCTGCCTTTCCTGAAGAAACACGGTTGTTCCGTACTGTTTTGGCCGGATTTGGCATCTTGCCATTACGGTAA